TGTTTGTTTTTATAATGTCAAATGAATTCCCAGTTCCCAAGGTGAAGGTTTCAGACTGCTGACTTTATCCAACCAACTGTCCAAACTAGAAAGAAATGAAACTGTTGAAAGAAATTCTGTTGATTTTCACAAGGGACCTAATTAATTCATGAATTACGTTTTACATTGCTGTCTGGTTTCAATGAACCTGACGCTGGACCCTTACAGTAAAACATAAAGCAGACATCTGATAATTAACAAACCGCTCCCGTTTAAACCTGAGTGAAAACACTTCTTTTGATCTGAACTAAGAGGAGGTCAGGGTTTGTGTTTCTCAATATGACAGTACAACAGGTGTTTTTTGTTATAGTTTATGCATTGTGCTCTATAGGGAGGCCGAGCTGAAGCACAGCAGAGAGGGATGAGTAGGGACTTGTTGATCAGTTAAGGAACTTTTAAATAGTGATGCACGATGTATTGGCATTAACATCAGTATCGGATGATATTGGTCATGTTTTAGATTATCAGTATCGACCCGATAAGTAAACTGGGCTGATATTAACGTTCAATATTGATTTCCCACTTTTTAGCTTTGTTTTTCTGCTTTGGGAGGGAAAATGGTTGGTCTAGCGGTATCTGTTTGATCATGATAGAGTTAGTGATGCTACGCAGCCATGTCAGCAGTCTGGTCATTTTTTAATGGTATCGAAAAAAGGTGTATTTATGTGTATATGTATATAAATAATTTATGTGTTTGTGCAATATCGATAAATATTGGTTATCGGCCATAACACCAATAATCGGATATCAATATCAGCTGAAATTTTTATCCCTACTTCTTAGGGCTGCGCGGTAAATGCGGTAGACAGTAGAAACTGTATGAAGTTGGCCTATGGTAGAAATTTATACTCTACCGTCCTATCGTCATTACATCATCGCACCTGTGTCGACAGGGCTGCGAGTGCAGAGACAACTGAGCAGGAGTTCGAAATATAATGAAGAAATTCTAGCATTTTAAAACACGTATGGAGAGGATAAATACTCAAAATTTCCTCCTCCCGATGTAGAAAAGTTACGTCGTGTCGCGGGATCATTTCCTCCTCCCTCTCCTCTTGCTGCACGTCATGCAGAGCGAAGCTTTAACAACCGTTGTTTTTCACACCCAGTTGTCGGAGAAAAACCTTGTTTTTTATGTATTGTTAAACACAGAGATTCTAAAAAAAGATGTGGACGTTCGTTCAGTCGTAAATCCATCTTTATAATGTAAAGTCAGCTTCTACTCTGATGATGAAGATGATGAAGATGAGCGTGCAGCTGTTCAGCAGCTAAGTTCAGCAGGCAGAAGCTCATTGTTTGGCAGGCAGATATTAAAGCAAAAATGCTGGGTTTGATTAAGATTACAGTTTTCTGCAAAAAAAATGCTCCAAAAATTACATTATCTTTACTTTTTATGATAATTTTCTACCGCGATATATACCGTTACCATGAAGGGGTTCAATTTATACCGTGATATGAATTTGAGTTCATACCGCCCAACCCTACTACTTCTTAAATGATTAAATGTCCAATTGAGAATTCTGAATTCATTTCTAATCTGCAGTAACCTCTATGCCTGCACCCTAGCTGAAATAAGAAAAGGCTGCTCCTTCAACAGATGTGTTTTTGTAAAGCTATGTCAGAAGCATACGTGGACATGGCCTCTTCGTCACCCTGTGCTAATACTGAAACATCCACGAGAGGTTTGTTGCCTGCAGCGTCGTCTCTCCTCTACTTTAATATCCTGAGTGCTGTAATCTGCTCACCACAGCTGACCCTCTGTGTCACTCTCACTACTAACTCTCCTTCTTAACTCCCCCCCTCCCTAAAATCCCCTACATCACATTTATGTAACCCCACCCACAGGCTCCTCCACCCGAGGCCTACACCTGCTGTTGATGAGGCTCGGCCTGCCTGATGTGCATCACTTTGATGTGCGGCAAATCCCTTTTTATTTATTGAGCAACCCTTTGCTGTTGAGGCATTGCACGGATGCTGCAAAAAAAAGCTCAGGGAAAGTTTTGCATTATTGAAAAACGGCCCGCGCACATCGATGTGTGCTCTGAAGTCATTCCATGAGGTGGGACGTTTTGTTGACTAATTGTCTCATCTGTAAGTGCTCCCTGGTGTTTCGGGCTTGAGATCTTTCTGATAAAGTGTGTTATTATCTGGCTGTTATTGCTCTCACACCGCACCAACATTTCATGCTTTTTATGTCCCAGTGACAGTCACATCACCTGCTTCGGTTCATGCAGTTTCTGAGTTTCAGACAGAACGTACAGTCATTCATTTACCAACTGGGCGGGGGAAACGTCCCTCCGTTTCACTTGCACCCGGACTTTGTTTACTGACTCGCTCCCGGGTATCAGTGGGTGATGTCATCACATCATTTGGTCAGGTAACGTCAGCCTTGTTTATTTTGTGTTGGTAGAACCGAAACCATGGTGGCCTTGTTTAGTTAAGCTGCGGGGCGAGGGAGGAGGGTCAGAGCTGGCTGATGCTGTGTTTACACTCGATACCTACTATCTCTCCAACCCTCCTCGCATCCTCTCACTCACTCTGTAGGGCAAAAGACTCTTTTTTTTACCCAGCTTTATTTGTCATTGCCACAGTCAAAGGCAACTAAAATGCCAGTTTGCTTCTAGGATATGTCTCATTAAATTAGAATTTGAAGAAAGATTAATTACACAAAGTCTAATAGCACTGTTATTTTCTTTATTTATTTCGTCTTAAAGTGCCCGTGACATCGTATTTTTGTAATAAATATAAATTCATTTTTGGCAAGATAACATTGATAACATATTGCAAAACAAATTTAATGCTGTTGAGATGAACAGTTGTTCAGATATTCGCATGTGAAGAAACAGGAAGTGATGTCAAAGGGGAATGTCTGCATGTGAACAGAGCATCGCTACATCTGCTAACAAGACATATTGAATGTGTTTCTTTAGATCATTTTGAGTCACTATCAATGGGAGACGAAGAAGAGTCAAAGTTCAAAAATGTTTCAATAAACAAAGATCAGAGAGTTCTCTTTCTTAAAGAGTTCCCCTTTGATGTCACTTCCTGTATCATTTTGACTGGACCAAGTTAAGAAAAAATGTGACAAAATGGGTAAAATGGGTAAAAGTGGGTATTATGCCAAATTTCTTAAATATAAAGATGTTTTTTTTTGTTTTTGTTTTTTTAAAGAATATGCACGTCACATGCACTTTAGAATAATTGCGAGAAAGTCCCTTAAAAATCATAATACGACTCCACTTTGTCAGCTTTAGTTCTTGGAATCTGAGCGGTGGAGATATCGAGTCGAGGTTTTTCATTCAAGGATGAATTATTATCTCGCTGAACCGAGATGAAATGGTGTCTTGCAGGCAAACCAACGCAATCCGCCTGACATTTGAAACACCTAAAAGCTTCTTGAAGGGGAAGTGCATGTGGACTTGTCCTTTGAACCTCCTGTTGCCTCAGAAATGGCTGAAGTCGTGACAGTAGGTGGGAGTTGGTACCCATACATGCTGTCAACCTGAAAGTTGTAATTTCATAGCCGTAGTAGGAAAAAAAATAATGGCACGACTACTGTTCCATGGTTCTTGGTTATTATGGTTCACTCCTCCCACTAAAAAAAAACCTGCTATTGACAACAGTTCAAACAAAAATTCACAACAGCTTTCATGAAGCTATTGCAGATTGAGAACTTGCCTGACATAATAAATATCCCCGATAATCATTAACATTTACAACGCAGCAGATGTTACATTGTCCTCAATGAACGAGTGTGTTGTACAAAAGAGTGTTTCAAATTTGAACCAGATAGTGGAAAATTAGGAGCAGGTCTACTAACCATCTGTTCCAGGGATGTTTCACTTGCTTCTACAGTCCAATGTTTGCTCAGAGAGACAGAGGGTAAAGAGAGCTGCTTTGGCAGGTACACTGCTTTTCACCCAAGAGACCTGGCTCAAGCACCGTCTAATAGTGACTGAGTGTAGATTAAAGCAAATTATCTGACACATACTTCACCACCAAAAAATAAATAAAGAAATAAACTGAATGGCCACATCATCTGATAGCATCATTAAAAGTAGGATGAGGCTGCTTAAAGGGGCAATATTATGTGTTTCTCAGGCATATATTTAAATACTATACCATAATAAAGTATCTTTGTCACCTTTAGCTGTTATTAAAATGCTGTTTTTGTGTTTAAATTGAAAATTAACATCTTCTCATCACTTCCTCATCTAAACGCCTTGAAGTTGGCCTCTGTCTCTTTAAGAACCACCTTCTGCTTCTGTCTCGTGGGGGGGGGGGGTGCCATGATGCAGTTTACTTGGCATAAGAAAATATGTTTCCTCAAAAGTATTTTTAATCTGAAAAGAGCTTCACTGAGTGAGAACTAATGTTGAGAGCTCAGCAGACAGTTTAAGTTTCACTTTCACTTTCACCCGAGAGCCTGCAGGAGTCATGGGCGGGGTGTGTGTGTGTGTGGGGGGGGAGTTCTCCGCCATGAGGACGTTCGGCTTAAAGACACGTCCCAGGGGCGTTTCTGGTACCAAAAGGTGTTTCTGGTCCCCACCTGTCGTTTTGCTCCTCAGCATGGCTTCCTAAAAACGCTGCAGGATTTCTCAAACATGCATGAATGAGTCAGAGCAAGGCTTTGGGCATGTTTTTTATGAGAGTATAACATTAGAACATGATATAAAACTCAAAAAAAGTTGATTTTACATGATATTGCCCCTTGAAGCTCAATAAAACGCTCTTTCTGGGTGTATTCAAGACCTAATTAAAAATAAAAAAGAACAACCTTCAGTTATACCTAAGAGTAAAATCACAATTTATTGTGTGAATCACTGAAAATCACTTCTGATTATACAACTCGAGCAAAGTGCCACTGGATGAGCTCTAAATTGCTCAAACAACAAAAAACAAAACGATTCAAAATGTTCCATCAAGGGAATAAACAAGCAGCTAATGAGGGGTTTTGTGTCAGAGACAGCGGATTTGGACTCCCCCCTTAAGGCACCCCATGTGTGGTCATGAATAGGAGGGGGGTGGGGGGGCAGAGCCCCTGTGCCATCGCTGTGGGAACTGGGACTACATTAAACAGTAATTATCCTGAGTGGCTCAAACCATGTTTCATCTATCAACATCCCACTTAGTGAAGTAACCAAAGCGCAGTTTATGATGAGGAGAAGATGGTGTTACTGCTGGGATGAGCTTTAAAGATGCAATTGGTTCGATGTTTATACAAAAGTGGAGGAGTTACGGTAAAAGTTGGATTCGACCTGGAGAAGCAGAGAAACTTCCCTCCCATCCGTCCAGTGCTTCAACCATTGAAAAGTGAAACTCTTCTTCATCTCCACCCGCACGTAAAGCCGGAATTAAGCTCCAGGAAGAATGCTGTTTGATGACATCACAGCACAAGATTTGAAGTTTCCATGCTTCAAACCCTAATGTCTCACTGCCTTTTAGTGTGCCAAGTTTTCTGCTGGAGCTTTAAATAGAAATCATTAATGAGAGCTTCGTTTTAAGAAATGAGTTTGGTTGTTTAATCCTCGGTTTACTCACGTTGCAGCTGCTGGAGGTGAATTATTCTGAAGTTTATTTGACTCAGTTGCAAATGATTTCCCTGGATGAACATCGGTCCAAGAGCCAATAATTGCCATTTGAAGAAGTGTTGGTTGTTGGCCAGTTCTGTTGTAAAGAAAAAAAGAAAAGACAATCAAGTTGTTAAATGAGCTGCTGAAAAGTAGTCAGTTTATGGAAAAAGGGACTCCCTTGAATTGGGAGAGCTTTGTTTTTAATTTAGATTTTTATGGTGTTATTGTTCCTCACAGAGAGATGTCTGGGATAGATGAGTGCATTTGTTTCTGAATTTTCATTATTTTTTCCCCAGCAGTAAAAACAAAAGGCAAATATTGAATGTTCTTATGATTCTCTTCTGTTTTTGATCTTTGACAGAAATAAGTCTTTATGTTATTGTTATTTATCTTTGTTTTCCCAGCTGGGTAATAAAATGTCTGAATGTGACTAATTTCAGCAACGCTCAACCTTCAGGCTTTTGTGATCAGAGCTCGTTCCAGTGAAATCCGCCTCTCAGTTCTCTGAATTTTCCTGGACATTGTCCACATGCCAGAAGAAAGCTGAAGGCTGTTATGCCCAACGTGCCATACGCGAACAACACAAAGCACATGGCTCTCAGTGCTGCTTGACAGACCAGGCCTTATTACAGCTGAACGTTCTGTGCACAGCTCTGTGCGGAGGCCTTCAGAGTCTGTTGCTATCAGTGCTGGGCCAGACGGCACGGCAGCTGTTTTAATAGCGCCCCTCATGTCCCCTCTGATCCAAGTCAGCTCACCTGGTGTGAGTCAGGCCTTGCTTTTTCATAGTCTGCCAGCTTGGACAGATTTTCTGCTTTGTTTATTCGTCCTGTTGCTTTTCTTTGCAGGAACAGGGCTCCTTTCCCCCCCCTCCGTCTGGCAACTCTTTAGGCAGTGTCTAGCCTCGGGTGCATTAGAACATGACTGTCCCCGCAGTCACCCTCTTGTCAGTGTGAGAACAAAGCACCAGCAGCACAAACGATAATGCCGGCCAGGCTCAAACCCACAACGCACCTACAAATCTCCCTAAAGCTCCGCCTTTTCTCTTTGTTCCAATCTCCCTTTTTTTCCAGCTTTGCATCTCACTACTTTGCTTATCTTTCTCTCTGTGTGTTCCCACCTTCCTCTCTGCACCACTAGCTTTGAAATCCCCTGAAATCTTAACGTATTAATGCTGCTCACATTGCATGGATGTGACTTTGCAATTCCTTCATGCAGTCCGTCATTACAGCTCTGCCGAGTGCTAAACCAGGGACTTCTGCAGTCCTCAAGTGGAGGGGGCTCGCCGTGTGCATCCACGGTCCTTCGCAAAGGAGATTTGGACTTTTGCGGCTGTGTAATTAGACTTATTTATCTAGTTTCCATTCATGTGAGCTAATGTTTACTTAGCCTAACGTAAGTTGGGAGTATCAGACTCGAAAAAAGGAAGGGCAGAACGAGGAAGGAGGGGCTGCAGCTTTTCACCGAGCCAGCCCCTGCCATTATTGTTTCAGCGGTGAGGTGGCTCCGATAAGGCCAGGTACATATTTATGGGGTTTTTACACTCCCCCTGTGTCTGCAGCCCCCCCTCCCCCCTGCTTCACTTCAACTTCAGATTAAAGTTTAACTAGTGTTGTCCCACTGTAAATTGTGTTTGCCGTTTCATGAAATATCATACTATAGCTGCCACCGCCGCTAATCTAAGCTGTGATAAAATGGAGTAAAGCGTTGCCCCCGGGCTGTGCGAGGACACAGGTGGTTCTCAAGGTACAGACGACGAGGTTGCCAGTTCTTTCTGTCAAACTGTATTAGTGAATCAATCTGTCATCACGAGCCCGTTTCTGATGTGTTCAGACGGAAATGAAAGATGATGTGTGCTCAGTAACTTCAAAAGGTTGTCAGTTTGTTTTTTTATACGATCTGAAGTAGCAAAGACAGCGTTTGAGTGAAAGCATATAACAATAGATTGAAATTGCCTCTCGCTCGTAATGCACCACTCTCCAACATAAGCAATTCAATGTAAGGGTTATGCACCCGCTGTGAAAGATGGAGGGAAAAAAAATATGTTGTTAATCTTAATAGTCTCTCACACAGAGTCTGCACCATTTCCTCTCTCAGTGCCTACACTGCGCCCTGATGTCCTTCGGCTGACTACCTACGGTTTTTACAAGTAAAATCTTAACACAACAACCGTCGCCACTGCTTGAGATGGTTCGACGCTGCACGCACCCAACATCCCCCCTCCCCTCGGCTTTCTGTTCTTCAGCTCAGAGCTGAGAATATCCAATATAATATTCAGTGGGTGTTTTACGGAAATGAATCTTTCTTGTATTCCTAAACATTTTACAGCCCCCCTGTGGAAACCGAAGGCTGCGATTTATCCATCAGTGCGACGTGATGCCGTTACTCAGTGCTAAAGAGCCGCCCTGTTTGAGGCGAATGGTTCGGGGCCCCGGCTCTTCCCCTGAGACAACAACATATTTTCTCCCCATTCATGACTAGATTCACTGGTCGGCTTTATGAGCCCGGCGTGATTAACGGAGGAATTTCAGTCCCTCTTCCTGTAGGTCTATCCATAGGAGATAATTATAGTTGCGGATGGTTGTAAATACAAGCTGTGCCAGGGGGTTGTCGGACGAGGAAATGGGACATCATCAGAGTTCACCTGGAAACGGGACATAAATCCGTGCCTGAGAAAACAAAGACATGTCGGAGACAACAGGATGCGGAGACCCTGTGGTGGCACATCTGCACGGCGCACCGCAGACCCCCGGGTCAGACGAAAATTAACACAAAGTTGTTTGGGGCTCGAAATTAGAAAGTGAGCACTTGCAGAAAAGAACAGCTTTGAGGATTTAATGAAGCAATCAGCAATCATTTTCAGAATTTATTAATATTTTTTTTGTAATTATTCACTGAAGCAACTTCAAAAAATTGTAAAATGCACAAATTGAGTTCTGTAGAGACCAAGGTAATGCCTTTTCCTAGAATATGTTGGATTGACAGATGAAATGTTACATTTTCATCGATGGTAAAATTGAGAAAGAAAAAAAAATATTTTTTAGAAATTGGATTCACTAAATTTTTACCATTTTTACGATATAGACATCTAATGTCTTTTTTATTTATTTAGCAATGAAGCTGTTGCATATCTTCAACTCTAAAATTGTGTCTACTAACAAGGAGGAGTTTAGTCACTATTTAATAACCATCCAGTCTAGCTGGTATGAGCATGAGCTTTAAGTATAGTCTTTATGTTTGTCCTTTTATTATTTTTGGTCTTGTTAAAAGAAAAGTCCCAACATAAAACTGGTCTCGTCAAAGTTTAACCGTGTTGAAATTTCGGGGTATGCAGTTTGTGTACAGACTTGTAAAAAGCTTTATTTTAGGCTCCTTTATGACCACAAGTTAATTTCCACCTGGAAAACCACGGCTAATAACTTTGCCTTTAAGTGAAAGGTGATTAAGAAAGAAACTTGACAGTTCACTTTAGCATTAGGTCAATATATATGCATGAAAAACTAAAGTACAGTTGAGGTTAATGGTCCGTTCTCGCTAATTGATCTTTTTTTTTTTTTTTGCGTACCAAATTCCCTAAAGGTGAGGATAGAAAAAAAGGGTTTGTGTAATTGCTGAGTTTTTAATATAGCTAATGTGTGCTTTCTCATTGTTGTGAGTGCATACACAGGACTCCATATTATATCTTTTAATAGGGGCTGCAGGCAATCATTGAGGTATTTGTGAGTAAAAAAGTAATTAAAATTACAATGGACTACCCGGTGTGTTGCGGGGATGGGGGGGCACAGCAGTCGATGACTTGGCTTCAACTCTTTGCCCTTGTACTCATTCATTAGTGATGCATTGGTTGTCACTCGGCCCTCCCATCTCATCAGAAACAGGACCTTCGCAGACAAAGTCTTGGCTGTATGGATGTGCCCATTATGGTAATAACATGTCCCCCAGCGTTCACACACAACCACCCAGCGTGTTCCAACTTTTTCACTGATGTGTGAGAGGGGCAGTCATACTGTGTGGCTGAATCAGTGCTTTTGACTCTGTGCTACCTAGGAGGCTAAAATGACTCCTTGACTTTCAGCTCATTTTGTTTCCTTCTCTCCTCCTTTCTGTGTAGCTGGCCATGGACAGATGGTAGAGATGGACTCCAGTAAGTCTGGCTTCGTGGGGACGCAGGTGGAACTGCGCTGCACTTTCCGCAACAGCAACCCGCCGGTCAAGATTTCTCAGGTTACCTGGCAGAAGCTGCTCAACGGCACCAAGCAGAACGTCGCCATCGCCAACCCGGCCCTCGGCGTGTCCGTCCTGTCGCCCTTCAAGGAGCGGGTCAGCTTCAAGCAGGCGGCGGTCCGCCACCGTACGCCCTCGCTGGAGGACACCACCATCGTGTTCTCGAACTTGCAGCTTTCTGACGAAGCGGCCTACATCTGCGAGTATACCACGTTTCCTGCCGGCAACCGGGAGAACATGGTCAACCTGACTGTATATGGTGAGAAAATGTCACGTTCCCAAATCTAGATCAGTAGGAATCAGTAAAAACGTCATTATTATAAAGCAGGGGTCATATTGATTTTTGGTCTATTGTATCACAGAAACGGCTGCACTGACCAACATGAAATTTGGTCGGAATGTCAATGTGTCCGACCTACACTGCACCAGCTAATGCTTTTACAATAGACCCCATTTTTGAGGAGGGGGCTTCACCTAAAATGGAAAAAAAAAACTATTGTTTTTCTTGTTTAGCCCTGAAGAAGGGTTATCCATTGGGTCCACCAATTAGCGACCCCACCCAAAACAATGAATCCGATCTCATGACTTCCTAGGTTTGGTGCATTGGTGCTTTGCGTATGTGCCGGGGTCATATATGCTACCACCAACCAATAGTTTAAATTACTAGGGGTGCAACGATACAGAAAATTCACAATTCGGTTCGGTTCAAAATTTAAGTCTCACGGTTCGATATGTTTTTGATACAAAAATAGAGAAATTTCCATGCCCTTTTTAACTTGTAATTTATTTAAATTAATTATGACCATTTGTTTAACCTCAAAAGTACAGTTTAAAAATTAAATGTTGCTGAAAAAGCAAGTTTCTCAGTGGATCTGTGCTCGACAATGCAACCTAGGTAGAGTAGTCGAACACAGATCCACTGATCCTTCAACACAGAACATCTTCAGAAGACAAGCTGATAAAATACATTTTAAAAATCTGTATTGTTCAATACAAGTGTGTATTGAACCTAAAGCACTGTATTGAACGGTTCGATACGGTTACATGTATTGTTGCACCCCTATAAATTACATCTTCAGAGAAACAGTGATGTAATAAACAAAACAAGTCTAACAAAAAGTTCTTTCTTTTCAATCAAAACTTTACTCTGTTGGCCCTTGAAACTGTATAACAGAGACAATAACTCGTAAAAGAGGGTTTGAATCAGCTGAAATGTTTTTTTTAATCACAGAGAATCCTTAACTTTCAAGGCAACAACTGCTGATGAACAAAACATTTTTTTTCCTCAACAACTTCTGTTTGAGAGCTACTCCTCAGTGTTACAGCGTGGAGCCAACACTACTCTACCCTCTGTGTATTTTTGCATCAGTGTCTTATATTTGATTGTGTGTTGTATTCTCATCGCCTGTGCTGTCTAATTGATGTAAATGTCTTCTAAATTTGCTTGTGCTTTGCGTAATTGCACGTTCCCTTCGCTCGCAGAAAGATGAGATCTCTCAGCAACTGCAAATCTTTCAAACCCTGACGATAAAACTTGAAAAAGAAAAAAAAAAACCAATCCCTTTAATTTGATGTAGCGATATAAGCAATGAAAATGTATCGAAACCACAGCCTGACTACTGCTGCTGGCGTTTGCCTGCATTTGGCTAAACGAGTCGTCACTTCGTGCTCCTACATGTTTCAGAACAAAGGTAGATTCTACATTACTGATTGTGTAACTGTTGTTGTGATTCAGATACATTTTAAGCCAGGAAATGAAACAGGTTTTACATCTCAAGATCAGTTAAGAAGCATTTAAAAAAAACATATTCTCGTTTATTGGATGAATCAGCGTGATAGCTGTGAAACTGTCACGTTAATTTGTGACATTAGACAGAAACTGAAGATTTTTCTTCATCAGATAACACCAGGGCAGGCTGACAGTTTCCTATTGGGTGAAAAACAACTAAATGAAAACACTTTTTTACAGCTTGGCTGCTCTGCGTAACTTTGCCACAGGCTCTGCTGTAAAGTAAACCAAATTCTTTCAGAGCACCTAAAACCAGATGCTTTCCCCCCCGTTTCTGTGTTTACAATAAAACATGCAGATGAACCAAAACGCAGTTTGAGACCTTGATTACATGGCAGAACATATCGTACATGTTGTGTTTGTGTGACACCAGGTCGAATTATTAAACAGCAAACTGACACAAATATTAGTCAATAAATATGGAAAGTGAGACAGAAATCAATAAGGCCACTTCACAGGGTGTAATTTGGTTCAAAGTGTCTCACCTTGACCAAAGAAAAAAAATGCTTGAGACATAGTTTACCTTGAGAGGAACTTAGAAAGCTCTGTTGGCTAACTCTGATTAGAGAATCAGTTAATAAGGGGAAATATCCAGCAAAATCCACTTTTTTAATAATTAAACACATTTTGTTTTGTACTTGGTGTCTATGAGAGCAAAATATTACAATGTTGTCTCACCTGTTGCTTTGTAGCTATTTTTGTGTTGTTTGGGTTAGTGTTGGGCATTATCATATCGTGTGCAACTAATCGTCAGAAAAACATTAATCGATTAATTTTTGGCACTTGATGATTAATACCATTAATACCACCAGACAGACTGACCGCTCGGTGCTCCTCTCTAAATTGGTCATGTGACTAGGACATAAGAGTGTCCAGGGACTCCAGGGGATTAATCGTCAAATTAATAGTTATCGGAAAAATACCACAATTAATCGTGATAATTTTTTTGCCAATATTGCCCAACCCTAGTTTGGGTTATATTTTTCAACCTGTTCAGTTTTCCATTGTTAACATCTCTTAATTCATTTGTAAATACTGTAAAAGGTTTCTGCGCAGCTATATAGTCATAAACCCCTCTATCAAACTAGAATGAGACACTTAAAAAGGTGGCAGGGGGCGGGGCGTGACGTGCCTCATTTGGATTTAAAGAAACGGTCTCGGGGGCGGGACTTTTTGAGTTGCAATATGGAGGAATTCAGATCAAAGTTTTGTAGTTCTACTTTATATTAGGGTTGGGCAATATTGGCAAAAAAAAAAAACAATCACGATTAATTGTGGTATTTAGCCGATAACGGTTAGTTTGATGATCAATCCCCTGGAGTCTGTGGACACCCTTATGTCCTAGTCACATGACCAATTTAGTGGGAAATATTTGCTCTTCGTAAAAATCCATTCCAAATTGTGTCAAAATTACAGACTTCAGGCTATACATCTAATTTAAATTGTGTTGATAGATAAATAAATTACAGAACTTTTTTTTTAAATGTTCGTCATATTTGAAGTGGAGAGGAGCAGCGAGCGGACTCTGCCTGCTGGCATTTGATTTGATTTGATTTATTTATTTAACAAGAAAAGATTATTAAAAATCAAGCCTGACTCAGCATAATTGCTGTTTTACAGCAGGTTCCAGTTCTGCAGCACATAAAACACTCAGAATTACAGCATCACAATCACTTCATTATACACCATAGACACAAAGACAAACAAGCATACCAAATTTCAGGAAGGCAGCATTTGCAAAATCGGACGTCTAAATATGAGCACAACAAAAAG